CTCAGCCTCCTGAGTACTGGAACTACAAAAGTGCACCACCATGCCTATTGTTTTCTAGTATATTTTTTAAAAATTTAAAAACTGTGTTATGGATTTGAAGTCAAAACCTCAAAAATTCTGTCCCGCTGTAAAAGAAGAATACTGTTGTGTGGAAGGTAGTGGGAGGCTAGTGGGTAACCACTTCTGCTCTAAAAGCTATGGCTTTCCATATATGGAGAGAGTTTAACCCTGTGCAAAGCCCTAGCCAACCTCAGTCTAGTTTTTTTTTTTAATACAGGCTCTGGGACTTTTTGAGTGACCACAGGAGGTTATTTTACTGCCCTGCTAAAAGCATGCCAAAAGTATATGAAGATACAAAACCACGGGGACACAGAAAATGAGAAAAGATGAGTCATTTCAGTAACAAGAGAGAAGCTGCTTCAGCATGTTTTGGAAGCTGGGAAATGGGTGTTGTGCTCCATAAAGTGGGGGCCCTCAGTGCTTCCCCATTCCCTTCTAGGATCTTCCCTGATGTCAGAGGCTGGACGGGTAAAACCATGGCATTAGACCCAAGCTGGTGGGCTTACTGGTATCTGTGAGCCTGTGAGATGCAGCTCAGGAAATGTGGAAGTGGGAAAAGGAGGTAGAAAGCTTTCTTTTCTTGGCAGTGATGTGGGAATATGGACTTAGAGAAGATGTGCCTCTCAACCAGCTAGATACCAGATGTGCTGAGTTTGTGTCCCTGAAATTGAAGAATGACTTCTAAGGAACAGTGGAGGTTAAGGGTACATAAAAATTGGGCCAGAGATGTAGCTCAGTGGTTTCACTGCCTGCTTCATAAGCACAGGGTCCCAAGTTTGATCTCCAGTACCAAAAAACAAAACAAAACAAAACAAAAAAGAGCAGGAAAAATTTATTGAGAGAGAGAGAGAGAGCTCCTGAGAGACAGGAGGGAACTTGAAAGTGGGCTGCTATAGAGACCACTTCTCTGAGATGTTTTATAGAGCACAATCACAAAGTGGGTACAATATGGGTCAAACTGTGATCAACTAGTAAGATCATAAATATGTCTGCTTAGGCAATATTGATCTAGTAGGGAAGCAGGTCATGTAGCCAGGGTTCATGAAAGAAAGAACGAAACCATTTTAGGAAGGAATGAGTCCAGGGGCTCTGGTTACCCACCTAGGTGGCTGATGTCTGTCTAGACTTTATTGGACCAAGTGATACCAGTTGTCTCACATTAATTGCTTTTCTCTCAGGGAGGCATGTAGGCCTGGTCATTTCATCTCTGCCTTGAGGCCTAGCCTTCAACAGATACACACCCAGCCACAGTTATAATGTGTTCTCATCTTTTGCACTGATTCCCTCAAGGGCATAGCCCTGTCTGACTGTCTGTAGTATTTCTACCTAACTTGGCTGTCTGTAATAAGATCAGGGTAAGTTTTTTCAGTGGCTTCGACATTTTCCCACTGGTCTGCTGTCTCAGGGCTGCTGAACACCTGTGATATTGGCAGCAGTTTTTGTTTTTTTTTTTGAGACAGGGTCTCACTAGTTGAGACTGACCTGGAACTCATTATGTAGCCCAGGCTGGTCTCCAACTCACAGCGATCCTCCTGCTTCAGCCTCCCGAGTCAGGGTCTCACCATGTAGTTGAGACTGACCTGGAACTCACTATGTAGCCCAGGATGGTCTTGAACTCACAGCGATCCTCCTGCTTCAGCCTCCCGAGTGCTGGGATTATAGGTGTGCACCACCACGCCTGGCCCAGCCTAAAGTTTTTAATGGAGAAAAATTTACAACTTTAAGAGACATTAAAGAACACTAAAAGAGGGAATGTTCTTGGCTAGATGCCAAGTTCAGTATGCTGCAGTTTCTTTTTTATATTGATTTGTGGTTTCATTGCATCTCCAATCTATACCCCCAGATGGCTTTATGGGAAATGTGACAAAGAGATTCTAGAGTGTAGGGAAGAAGAACAAAGTCCTAGTGTTTTTGGTACTTTGAAAAATGAGTAAAAGCACTTGCTGTCCCAGGATCAAGCTGACTTTAAAGACAACCAATTGGCTCATGAAAGAAAAGCTGTCAGAAAGAGACCCTGGAAACTCGATATACAGGAGAGGTAGAATTAGATGTCATTGAGCACAGGATATTCCTCACACACAGTACTGTGACAGCTGGAAAAGAATGAAATTTGATTTCTAACTCATAAAATATAGAAAAAGGTTTTCACGTTAACTGAAGAAAAACTTTTAAAAAACAAAAGATTGTCTTATGTTTTTGAAAGGCAGTACAATGTTTTTTAAAAATTTACAAATTATTTCTAAAACATAAACCAACTTTACTAGATTAAAATTAAGATTTCCATTATCAAAGTAAAGATTGTGAAAAGACTAATCACAGAGTAGGGAGAATATATTTGCAACATTTGTTGTTTTTAAAAGATGATAATCTAAGACCAGGGACTTAGCTTAGTGGCGCTGCACCTGCCTTGTAAGCACAAGGTCCTGAGTTGGATCCCTGGTAAGAGCAACAAAAAGATTATAATCCAGTATATATAAGGAACTCTTTTTTTTTTTTTTTTTTTTGGTACCGGCGATTGAACTTGCAAGGCAGGCCACCGAACCGCTGAGCTAAATCCCCGGCCCATAAGGAACTCTTAAAAGTAGAAGATATAAATAGACATTTCTTAGGGAAATTAGAATGATGATTAAATGTAAGAAAGGATATTCAGTTTCATTAGTATTCTATGACTAGAGTAAAATACCATTTTATAGATGTTTAGATTGGCAAAAATTAAGGTGTCTGTCAAAAGCAAGTGTTGGAGAGAACGTGAAAGACTTAGAAATCTTACTTTGTGCCAGGGAGAAGGACAGATGGATATACCAATTTGGGAAGCAGTTGTCTTGCAAAACTGAACATTCTTCTATTATGGGAGCCAGGACTCATACCTGGGGAAATGGAGAGATTCTTGTAGCATTGTTTGGACTAACAAGTGTGGAAACAGCTCACGCCTGGACTCGCATGAGATGCACTATTGACACTTCTGTGCGCCAGTGACAGTGAATGAATGTTAGGTTTGTGCAGCACATGGATGAATCTTCAAAACAGACTGTCAGGCGACAAAGGAGGTTGCAGAAACCACAGACACCACAATAATGATAAGCAGAATCTATCATTGTGTAACTTAACACATGAGGTAAATTAAAAGAACAAAATTAAGCACCACAGTGGTAAAGTTCTGGCTCCTCGTTCCTCCCTGGTGGTGAAATAGAGGGATGAGACTGGGAGAAGCAAGCATGTAAGTTTAACACTACAGGTAATGTTTAAATTCCTAAATAGGGTGTGGGGAGGCGGTTCGCAGTTGTACTTCATGAGGCTTATATCTTATGTGTCTGTTTCCTACATTCTTTTGAATATTTGAGATAATTTGCTTTTATCTTTCTCCCTGCCTTCTTCTTTTTCCTCCCCTCTCCTCTCCTCTTTAGGAGACCCAAAGATCATCTACTACTGAACTATATCCCTATTTTAAATAGTTTGTTTGTTTGTTTTTGTTTGTTAAGATAGCACCTGCTCTAGTTCACGCTGGCTTTGAACTTATGATATAGCCTAGGGTGGCCTTGAACTCACAGTATTCCTCAGCCTCCTAAGTGCTGGGATTACAGGTGTGCACTACCATGCCTGACTTCCCAATTTTATTTATTTATTTTTTCTGGCTTCCCATTTTAAATATGTCTTGAGATAGGGTATTGCCAACACACTCAGGCTGACTTTGAATTTGTGATCATCCTACCTCAGCCTCACAAGTGGCAGGGTTTACAGATGTTAGCTACTATATCTGGTTTAGGCCTGTTTT